GGCAGGGAGGGCAGGGAGGGCAGCTCTCAGGGCTGGGGATGAGTTAGGGGGACTGGGAAGCCAGAGCCATCACACACAGAGACAGAAAATCACAACTTAGCTGTGTTGTCCCTACGGGAAATGAGGATCCTCTGGTAGCCTTTTGCACTAAGGAACATGATGAATCTGGATTTCTTCCAGGGCCTGAAAATCCTCTCCATTGGATTTCCCTGCATCCCGTACATTGTAGTTAAGATGGCATTTTAGTTGAAGTCCATCCCAACTTCTGTTGGTAAAATGGAGAGGGGCACACTATTTTTATATTCTATTTTGTACAGTTTGGTCTATTATTATCAGTAATGTTAGTTATAACAATTGCAGAAGGCCTGGCTTCCAATGCTGTACAATGTTAACCACGGAGAAGTAAATTTTGCTACAGACATATCAAAAGTTCGGGGAACGCAGATTAAGTTTTAAATTTGCAGCTGCATTTTTCTGTTTTATGCTAATGTGCATTCAGAATAAATTCATACCTATGCTTCTTCTTAAGAATATTTTTCTAGAAGCACACAGAGACTAGCTATATAAAGGGCTAGTTTACACTCTATTTCCTTGGAAAAAAAGAAAGAAAGAAAAAAAAAGAAATGGAAAAAAAGAGAAGCACATTTTTGTAAATCTATGGATTAAGATTTTGAGCCTCCAGATGGTGCTATGATTCTTCTTTGCAATGGTTTTCTTTCTCTTTTAAACTCTGAAGAAAAGAATACCGTTTTTGATTTATTTTGTTTAGAGGCAAGAAAATTGAATTCTTTCCCTTTACTTTTGTGTTTCTTATAATGGAGAAATTGTCTTTACTCTGGAAAAATCTATAATAGTTACTCTTCTTGAATGCTAAGCACTTGCTTAGGCCAAATAATAATCAAATTTTGTCTTTTTTTCTACTTATCATTCAGTATTTATTTGTCTGTGAGCCTTAATCAATTTACTTTTGCTGTTTCTGGCTTTAAATAAAATTGCTTAGCTAAGAATTGGGTGACGAAGAGCTGAGGATAAAAAAATTCCATATGAGAACAATTGCAAGCTGTAGTTTATAATAATCAGTTAAAAAAAGATTTCCTGGAATTAAGCCACAGGAACTCTGGCTTAAGTCAGAGCTGTCAACTGGGAAACAAATTTCCAGACATTTTGAAATTTAATTCATTTAATTTTTCTTGTAACTGAATTATAAAATATGATTAAGCATAGCAAGATATTCTTTTACTGGATCAGTCTGACTTTGAATGCAACAAATAGACATGACAATCCCAAAGAAGAGGAAAAAAAGGGATTCAGAACTGTTTTCTATTGAGGAATGTACATACAAAAATACAAGAGAAAATGCATATTAATTTTTTAAATACAAGTAAGATTTTATTTTGTTGCCCATAAATTACTTTGTGTAGCTGTATTTTGACCTTAACTCTTAAAAGAATGTATGTTAGGCTACTTTGATTTAGAAGACAACAATAGGAATTAGTTATCAAAATGCTCTCCAATGAATTGTCTAGAACTATTTGTAAGGCGACTGAGTCACAAATATTCAAAAACCGGTATTGATTCATGTTTGTTGGAAGTTAGGGGAGAAAACAATGTAATTCTACATAATGCAAGGAGTTTTAGAAAGCAATAAAAATTTAATACAGTATGAAAGTTTATTTTTAATCATTTAATGTAATGGATATGAAAATACTTGGGGAATTAATGTGATATGGTAATACTATTGTAGTAGTGTGCCTATTGTACTACCTTAAAAGATTTGCTGAAACTTTATCCTGAAATGAGAAAAAATATGTCAGAAAGGTAAAAATTATTTCTGCTTACTTTTAAAATTAGGATGCACATCAAGAACAGGCCAAATCAGGATCCACATGAATACTATAAAAATAAAAAGTCATTAGAGGAATTGATGCTTGTAATAAAGGACAATTATACATTCATAAACATAATGAATATAGCATTTCTTTTTGACTTTTTGCACTTGTTTCTCCATTAAGTCCTTACTATTTTTATGGAACCCCAGTGGTCATGGCTAGAAAACTACAATCATTCTCTTAACTCACTGCAGCTAATAAAAAATTAAAATGTTACGTTAAGCTTCATGTTTTTTGTTTTAAAAAAGTAAATTTCCTCTTTTTGATCTTACATTCCAAAGTTTCTTGCTATAAATTTATACGTATCAGACGTAATGACAATTTAATCAGAACTTCAAGCCCTGTTCATCCCCTGTGACGTCTTTCAGAGAGCTTTGTGATTGCTCAGCCCTAAGTATGAGCCCTATAAAACGACGGACTTAGCAATGCTGGTCAGGATACAGTGCAGAGCAGTAGCTGGCTGTGACACAAGCCCGAGCCAGTGCTAGGGGCACAGGATAGCCAGCTCCTCTCTGGCCTCCAGAACTTCAGCACCTGAGACAGTTCCAGAAGACAGGCTCCTGAGGTGCACCCACTCTCAAGGCAAGTGAAAACTTTACCTTTCTTCTTTTTTCCTGTTCTTGGAACTTTTTTCAGAGCTATCATGGTTATTTCTTCCTCTTTAAAAATATCTCAGTGTTTTTTTTTTCTCTGCAACTGTATAAAGACAAGTTTCTCCAATCACCTAGTAAGAGTAGACATATTTCAATTTCTCTTGCATGAATAGATTTTGTGCACCCTTTTCCTCAGAAGATGCTTTGTCTTGCTTGCTCCATTCTTAAATACTGATTTTTAAATAAGATAAGGCATTTGAGTAGGTTTTGTTTGTTGTATATAGATTTTCATCTAAAAGGTTCAGTTTATATCTTTGTTTCTGAAGTTTTCAAGTTATTTTAAAGTGTTTTTCTTCCGATTTCCATGTTGATGGAGTAAACCTAGAAAGAATTTATGTTCCTTTTAACTTTAAATATAAATTCTGTGACTTTTATAAGCAGCAAGGAAACAGGTCTTGAAGACCTAACTTTTCTCTATAAACTCTTGATAAATGAAATGTGTAAGTGGATCAAATGGAATGAATATAAGCTTAGACTTTATAGGTCTGTTTCAGAGATAGTACCCTGTTCATTGACTTTGGGTTGTCAATTTTCTTTTAAAAATGAAGTTACTAAAAAAAATGAAGTTACTAATACCCAGGCTTAAAGAAATAAGTTCCTATATATAACCACAATTAAGAAAGGGAAAAGACAAGTATATGCAAAATATTCTATGGTGATAAGTATATACACACTGTATTCATATATATGTGTGTGTGTACAAAAATACAATCATGTGACTATAATTTACCAGAGCATAATTATTAAATAGGTGATACTCCAATTTTGTAAGAGTCAGATACTACAAGTTTAAAGTGGAAAAATAATTCTTGAAGATGTTATCTTTATCATAAGAGATACTAAAAGTGGCTGCTGCAATTATACTATCAGAGTGTTTTTCTCAGGCTTCTTTGAAGCACAATAGCATGATATTTGATATATACTTGGACCAATGAAGTACCCAACAAGAGGTAGACATCACACAAAATGGATCTTAATTTTTTTCTCAAATACTTCTCACCAAGGCAAGTCTGCTTGATGTAAAAAGTAATCAGAGTGCAATTTAACTCTTTAGCTTAGAGATAAAAATTACTTTTTTCCTACTCTTATAAGCCTTCAGAAACACAGCTAATGTCGCAGAATTCCCTTCCTGGTGATTAGTGATTGGAAAAGCTGATGTAATTGTTTGACTCTAGAGGCTGAGATGGACGCCAGAATCAGACCCCAGGTCCTTGCGGTCCTCGTGTTTCTCAGTGTGCTCTGCTCCCAAGCACTGACCTGGCCTCTCTTTGGACCACTGTCTCCTCTGAGGTAAACTTCCCTCTAAGATAAGTACATTCTCAATTAGACAAGTAAACATCTCTTCTTTATCGAAGGTGGGATTTCCTACATTACCTTTGGCCATGAAATACTTTAAACTAGTTATCATTTAAATATTGTGATGTGCTGAGTAAATTATTTTATAACACCAAGTCATGATGGCTGTCTAAGCCCTAGAATACACTTCAGGGCATGACAGACATTATCAGTGGAAGAAGAGCGCTTGGGCTTTTGTTGAAAACCAGAGTCGGGTAACTATAAACTTTTGTGAACTCTCAGCTTACTTCAGTACAAGGTCTGGTGGAAAAAGTTGTTTAGCAGCCAATCTCATTTCATTTCATTTTCAAAGATCAATCAGTACAATTAGTAGTAGTTTATTAGTGAAATATTTGTAAAATTATGTTGGACAGAAATCTAGGCAGAATCACTCTGCCAATATTAAAAATTGTGGAAAATTGTTCTATTGAGATATAATTCCCCATAATGGACTTGGTTTGAGATAAAAATCCTTGGATATGCAGTAGTCCACATTTCAAGTGGACTAAAACAGTTTCATAAAACTATATTTCATAAAACATACCACAGCTCATATTTAAACCTTAGTTTGATATAAGATAAATTTGTTAAACAATTAAACCTTTAAAATGCATGGTAGATTTATTTCTTCTTCCAAGTTATAAGTACTATTATATCTGAAGTCAAAAATAATAATTTTTCATTTATTTGCATACTCCAGATTCTTTGCTTCAGTTATGCTTAAGACGATGAATACTCCCTTGGATGTTAGTGTTCTCCATGAAATTTTTTCAAAGCCCAAATCCTATTACTTCAACAATTAAAAAGAATGGCTATATCTGAATACTATATCCCAGAAATTAAACTGTCAGAAAACTGCTCAGATTTTCATGGATTGCTAGCCTTCAGATTCACAAAAGACAGCCTATTACTGATTACCTCCTACTATATCACCAAAAGTGATATACAGAAGTTCCCAGGACCTCAAACCTTCGCCTCCTTGAAGATTTGAACTAACTGTGAACACACACGCACACACACACACACACACGCACACACGCACACACACACACACACACAGAGAAAGCTCATAATCTGCTGTTAACAAGGTCCATACATAAACAAATGCATTTAAAATCCATGTATAGTCAAGATATCCTTGAGTAAAACAGTGTTAAAACATAAAGTCAGAAACCAGAAGCCCTCAAAAACCTCATGGAATCTGAGGGAAATTCCTAAATGAAGAGACTCTTTGGCTTTGATCAATGTAGAGAAAAATACCACACCAAGGGAAATCTTTACAGCAATGTTTAGGGACCTAATGAGACAAAAGCAGAGGATATTCAAATCTTGAAAGATATTTGGGAAAATTTATAGTAAATATATATAAATTGCTTTCACTTTTAATATTGAATATAGCTTGTTTCTATTTTATAGGAGCCTTTCTACCGATTGTACATAATGTTACAAAGTAAAGATATTCCTAAAAAAAAAAAAAAGATATTCCTGATGCAGTAAAGTACAACAATGAAATGTGTATTCTTTAATTTTCTTATAGGATTGAATTATGCTGGCTAATAGAATTTGAATGGCCTCTATCTTGTGGGATAATAATGAATTTTCTATCTATATTCTCATAAGTCATAGAAGCCATTAATTCAAATTGTACTATATTATGTTGTGAATGGGTGACATTTCTTAAGATTCTGAGTATCTTATTTCAGGTGGTTGTCAAACTATGAGCACTATATTCTGAGAAAGGAATGTATTATTCTTCTAACATGTTTTTCCTTGATAGGATGGATGACAGAGCAAATGAACGTGATCAAGTTTCATTGAAAGGAGATTCTGACATCTTTCAAAATGCTTTGGCTGAAGATGACACACCCTTTTACTATGCATCCAGGTGAGTTTATTTATAGCTTTGTTTCATTTAGAAAAATATCCTAATTTTATCTTACTACATCATGTGTCATGGCTTCTTTCAACATGATTTCAAACAACTTTAGCACCTGCATATTATTTTCATGTACCAGACTGTAGCAATTTGGATGGATGTACATCATTCACATGTATTCTTTTGCACATAATTTTAACTTCATAGACTGGGTCAGTCCTGATAAAATAATTGCATTTCAGATTTCTTAATGGAAGAGGTGCTATGGAAAGAGTTTCATTGTATGTTTAAAAAGAAAAGACAGGGGCTGGGGGATGGCTCAGTGGAATAAGCGCTTCCCTGGCAAGCGCAAGGGCCTGAGTTCAATCCCCGGTTCCGCAAAAAAAAAAAAAAAAAAAAAAAGAAAGAAAGAAAAAAAAGACAGTGTTAGAGCTGTTCATTCATAGGTCTGCTCCTCTGAAGTAAATTTTAACTATAGATCAAATAGCTCCATACTAAAGACAGAGAACAAAAAGTTTCTGATTTCCATGGAAAAGTTGGTTGGTAGGTCCTAAAATCCTCTTTACCTCAAGAGATTTTTGTCTGCAGTATTCTGGTGAAAGAAATAACAGAAGTGTAATAAGCTTGCGAATTTCCCCAAATCAGCATATTTCCCCATTACACGTATCTTTATTTAGGCTAGTAGACAGAAATTCAAAATAACATGTAGAAACTAATTGAAATGCACTACAATGATGATGCAATATTTCTTAGAAATCCATTTGAAAGGTGCACAGCACAATAATGATACAATATTTGGGAAATAAAAATGTCAAAATGTACTTCTAAAACTCATTTTCTAAATATTTCGTCTTGGAGTAGAGATAGAGAGAAGTCCTAATATTAATTACTAGAATATATTTCTTGTTAGGGCATTTAGAAGCTTCCTTTTGGACTTAGGTTTAATGAGCAGCTTTCGTAATAAACTGACACATTCTTGTTTTTTCTAAGGAGCTAGAATGATATTCCAGAAAACAATTTACAAAATAATAGCTATATTTTCTTCCTTGTTTTAGAAATGCCAGACATGCTGATGGAATTTTCACCAATGACTTTACTAAGCTGTTGGGTCAACTATCTGCCAAAAAATACCTTGAGTCTGTTATTGGAAAACGAGTTAGGTAAAGATAATTTATAATTTTTATCAAATGTATCGTTATGCAATCTATGAGTTATATTTCATAGCTATTGTCACTAACCTTGCTTAAAGCTGACCATACTGTTTAATTTAGCTAAATACGGCATTCTTGAGAAAAAAAAAGGTCTATGGGTTAAGAAAATCTGGCTTTCTAATAATCATTGATTTCAGATGTATGCAATTTTCCTAAGTATCGATCACTTACAAATCTACACTCAAATTGCACAAGTCTCAGAACCAAGTGATTTGGGACACTGATGCATTAACCACCTCTTGTTAAACTCTTTGACTTCCCTTTCCTCTCATTCATAGCAGCGACACCTCAGAAGACCCTGAACTGGGCAAACGTCACTCAGATGCTGTCTTCACTGACAACTATACTCGCCTCAGGAAACAAATGGCTGTGAAGAAGTACTTGAACTCAATTCTGAATGGTAAAAGGAGGTAAAAACAAAAGCAAAAACAATATTTAACGAAAGATTGTGAATGCTTTTCAAAATTTAAGCTATGTAGAGACATACCCATCTTTTCATCTCACTACCTATTCCCTGGGAAGTGGTCATTCTAAGCCTTGGCTGATCTTAAATCTCCCTGTAAAAATTTTTAAATACTAATGTCTGTTCTTAATAAAACCAATTGCTAGGAATCAGTTACTCTAGGGGTACATCCTCAGCACTACTTTTTCAATTTATTTTTCATTTTATAAGATATCTTCAGTTATTTCTACCATGCAACCGGTGAAAAATGATGGCTAGTCTGAATCTGGGAACAGGTTTCATCAAAAATGTTGAAACATGTGAAGTACAGTTAACAGTTCGGTGATATATGGATCCTCCTTTATGTGCATCCTTCCTTCATCAAATTGAGCCATGAGACATTCTTAATATTGAAGTTCTATAAAACCCATGTCTCTCTATGGTATGCAGATATTGGACCAGATAAAAAGGGAATGAAATGCTTTCTTTTATTCCAATTAGTTTTGCGTACATGGTGAATACTAAGTATAGCTCTGTTTGGGTGAAATAAGAAAAGCTCACTCTCCTTTCTCACTAATTATAAGTCTATAAGAATAATTTTTGCCATTCTAAGACTGAGGAACAATTCATAAATAATAGCTAACCTTAGAGATGGTTATTTAGCCTTGGGGCATTATGCAGAACAGCAAACAACCTATTCATTATGTCATAATCATTTCTTCGGAACCTTTCCCAACTGAGAGACTTAATATGAACAATTTGCTCCTTCTGATCCACAGCTCTGAGGGGGATTCTCCTGACTTCCCTGAAGAGCTAGAAAAATGATTGGAATAAAACTGATGACAAGTGGTGAGTACACTTGTGCACCTCGATGTCTTCTAATAACCATTGTCTAATTGCGTATATAGGGAAGAGTCACTGGGCACAAGACTTCTTAGGCTGAATGATTTCCTTTATCATGAGACCCCATCTAAGAGCACCTCTGCCTTGAGTGGACCCCAACCTAGTACACAACTGAAAATGGCTTATGTGTTGTTCTGGTCACAGAACAACAAGAGACTGCTCACAAGAGCACACAGTTGGGGAACTGAGCGGCATTCCGCATCTATTCAGCCTTATTCCTACTTTTGTGTCAAGATAAAAAAGCAGAGGAGTCTGACTCACACTCATGAGAAAAAACTGGCTTTGTTATTGAGAATTAAACCATGTTGCTTTTATGAATTTGAGATTTAGTCTCACAATTGTCTACTAGCTCTTCATTTAATTTAGGTATAGAGAAATACAACCAAATTATAGCAGGGCTCCTTATTAAGAAAACACCAGAGCACTCTGAGTTTAATTGTGTTCTTCGAAACATAACAAATTTCACACAGCAAAATTCTAATTTTGACCTGTAAAGTGAATGTGGACACTATACTAACTGTGGCAGCAGAATATATTTCTTTCCTGAATTAAATGTTTACATTGATTCCTTCAAATCTTTATCACATTTGGCAAGTGCTTGAAGAAATTTCATGTAATTAGCATACCAAATATTAGCAACTTTATCCCGAAAGGGCTTTGAAGAAAATGTTTTTGGATTTGTGGCCTGTCTAGTTTCTAATATAACTATTTAACTTTGCTATTTTAATATAAACACAGTCACAGATAGCATGTAAAATGAATAAAAATGTTTGTGTTTCAATTAAAACTTATTTTGCAAAGCTAAGGTTGGGCAGGAATTCAACTCTTAACGAGACCAAGAAAATAAGACTAGTTCCAAACAGGCTAATTGTAACTCACAGTGTCATATTAATTCCTGGTGTGGACATGAAAGGTTTTCAAGAGAGAATGCATAAAGCAGTTCCTGGCTGGTTGCTTCTGTCTCCTGGTGAGACTACCCCTTTGTGAAGAAGTGTATAGTCAGGAATTGCCCACATATATACCTTCCATGCATGGACATTTGAGAGAAACAAGTCCTTTGCTTAAAAATGAAAGGTCATCACACCTAGCTTCTTCAAAAACTCTGAGACAAAACCTTCTCCACTAAGATTAAAAAATAAGACAGACGCTGAAACATAAAGATGAACTAAGTGCTCTATCTGTTGTAAATTGCAAGATCACATAAAATCCCACGTTGTATTCTTATGGAAGGGTGGCTTTGGCTAGGTGCTCTAAACAGGAAATTCTATGGGTTATCCATTTGTGAAAACAAGAGATATATAATTATTAATGACTAATGATAGAACCCTTCACATTTCAGTTTCCTTGTGACAGTCAGTCTTCTGGATGATTCTTTTTTGATTGTGCCAGAATATAATTGCTTGCCTCAGGTTCTTGAAAAAGGAAAAGGAAAAATACAAACTTATTAAATGAATGACTGAATGAATGAGATTATAATCCTATAAATAAAAATATTTTTGTTTAAAGCACTAATTCTTTCTTTTTCAGAATTCTTGAAGACAGATGATAAAGTAATTACATTTTGAGTTCTACATAACTAATTCAAGAAAACAACTTCAATAGCAAAACCAAATAAAATATACTGTGTTGTGAATGTTGTGATTTATTTTATTCTGATGTAATAACTGTGATGTTTACATTGTAAATATTATTAGAAAGTTCTAAAATTTGTTTTTAGCTTATAAGAGGTCTGTAATTTCAGATGGTATATATTCTTTCTAACAAAAATATGTTTAATGATAAGTAGAAAATAGGTCAATTCCATTTATATGAGCTTTTCTGGAAGGATAATTGCAGAGGCAAATTGGTAGGCTTATTTCTAGAGCACAGATCACTATTCAGAAAAGTAAAACAGATAGCCAGTGTGTCTGCACTTGAATGTTGAGCAGTTAGGATGCTGTGTGGACAAAATCTCAGAATATCTAAGAGAACATCAATAGCTAAGATAAAGACATTCTCAAAATAGAGTTCCAGAATATTTATGTTCACATTTGTAGACAATTTTATTTCTAATGGGATTTTTTAAAAAAACTGACAAATTTAGATCTCTGTTCACCAAAGGCTTTCTTCTGACTTAGTGTTTTAGTCTAGAGACTTGACCTGCACTTCTGACTGTGGACCTCCCCATTGTGCTTGTGTGAAGAACGTGCAAAATACAAATGGATTGGAATGCTTGTTTTTCAGGAATAAATATTTTTCCATAATCCTTCTGAATAATATTTAGTCATATCCACTTCTTTTAGTGAAAGTAGATTTCGAGACACAACTATTTTTCCAAAATGATTGTAAGAACTAAATATAGAAAATAAAGACCTTTGATTATGATTGCAGATAGTTTCTGCTGTTCTGATTCTTTCATATGGTTCAACACTGACTTGTTTGGGCTTTAAAGTCCTAGGCACTGAAGAATTTCTGGGATGTTTGAAGTAGGATTGCTTTGGATGGTGTGTGAGTGCTAAAATAACAGTGACTTGAAGAGGGAGGTTTCTTTCTCACATAAAGACAGAAGTTAAATGTTGATGCAGCTGTGATGGTCCCGATTCCAAAACTCTTGGGAATTTAAACACTTTGTAGCTCATTCCTTATTTCCTAGGAAGGGATACTTCCCATGATGCAAATTGACAACTAATGTTCCAGCCATTCTATCTGCATTCCAGGCCACTAGGGGGAAAAGGGTGGGGACATGAAATAAAAGGCAGCAAAGGGTATGTGCTGGATCTCCTTGAGATTCTGTTTTATACTGACATTCCTCTTGACTGGAACAGGTCTTATGGCTATAGTCATTTGCAGGATAAGAAAGGTAGCCTTCCCCATTCTTGTCCCTAAGCACCAAGCTTAAAACTAATTCTATTTATGTAACATAATAAAAAAAACACAGATGTATGTGGGGATGTGCTTTTGAGATTATTCAATTCACACTAAAAAAAGACAAAAGGATCCTTCTGTAGGACAAAGCTCTGCTGATTTTCATTTGCTCCATTTAGAATTGGTCACACAAAGAGGACTATACTGGAAAGACTAGTGACTGCAAACTATTTCATTCAAGTTAAAGTGAATTGGTTGTATTGTAGCTCTTGTCCTCATCTGATGCCACAAATTATAAAGTATTTATTATTAACCTTGCCAGGAATGTACTATAGTAAGAACAATTTCTAGATATTATTTGTACATAAGGAGATTGTATAGCTGAAGTGGGGGCATAATTTGAATGTGAAACTGAAGCATTTTGGTTCTTAATGCAAATCTTTTAAATTTAATCCTTATTCACTCAAAAAATATTTCTTAAATGCCTACAATGTGTCATAGGGATGTCTCAGAAACTGTTCTGGACAGGGGACAGCAACTGCAAACTAGGAACCAGCCCAGTAAGGAAATCCATGTGGCCACCGCACTATCAGCCAGACAGAGACCAAGTAGGAGGTGTAGTCGAGATGAGCCAGGATTGGACCTTATGGATCGCATGAAGGACTTGAGAAATGATGTGAGGACATATTGCAGAAGATGATACGAAAAGTGACCAATGTCTTGTGACAGATGCACCATAGTAATAAATGCATGATTGTTCCTTATGTGTCCATATAGTGTGATGGCATCTTTTAAGAATGATGACTTTTTTTGTTACTGGCATTTGATAATGAAATCATTGCTAGAAGGGAACTTCACATATTAGCATTTTTGTATCTTCCTCTTGATCTGATATCGGTGACATTATGGGCTGAAGTAGGTTCCCCTACAAAAGAAGTCTTCATCCCATAGAATATGATCACAAAATGTAATTGTGGTTAGAGACAGGATCTTTACAGGGATAATTAAGTTAATTATGTCATTAAAATTGAGATTCAGAATGACTGATTTCATTATCAAAAGAGTATATATTGAGATGACACATGTTGTAATCCTAGCACCAGGGCAAATAAAGTATGAGAATCATTAGTTCAAGACCAGCCAAAACTATACATCAAGACCCAGTTTCACAACATGAGGAAGAAGAAAAAGGAGGGAGAGAAAGCAGAGGAGAAGGAGAGGAGAGACAGAAAGGGGAGGAAGAGGAGAAGGAGGAGGAGAGAAGAGGAAGAGGTGGTATAAATAAGCCAGATATACATAGAAGGATGATCTTATCAGAAAGTTGCTCAATTTTGGTATAATGATTATCCAATTACTATTTGAAAATATAGAAGTAAGTATTATAAAATTATGACTTAAATTTTGATAGTGTTTGAAAATTCCTCCTAATACTGATAGATCTTTCCCAAATACCAAAGACCAAAATTCATCTAAAATTTGGAAATACTAAAAAAGGTCAAAATTATGGAAGGACTGGATTATAGAGCTATAAACTAAATGTTTACATATATTATTATTGGCCTCTTATCCTTGCTATAGAGTATTGAACACCTGGATGACTGTTGTCATCAGAGAGTTGACTGAAATGAAAAACAAAACAAAATAAACCTTCCTTGGAAAAGACAAGCTTCGGGGGGAAAAGAAGTATAGAAATAGCAAAAAATATCAAATAAAGAAATATCAGAAAAGTAACATTTAATTTCTCTAAAGCATACTTTTCGTGAGATCTGGCTACATGCCTATTTTATTCATGAGTGAATGTATATTGTATACTATAACTGACTCTAAATATCAGTTTGTTAAATTTCTCAGTTGGGAGTATATTATTTAATGAAGAGCACTACATTTGCCTTAATATGATAATGTTTCTATTTATCTATTTATTTTGGGGGTACCAGGGGTTGAACTCAGGACCTTGCACTTGCCAGGTAAGCACTATTCCACTGAGCTATCACCCCAGCCCTGGTAATGTTTCTAGATAACCATTATTGTATTTATAATTTGGGGGCCAGTATATCCCCAAAATTTAGCTTTCTAATCTATCTATAA